ATCTCATGAGCAGATGCTCTGCAAGCGTCTCTCACTTCTTGCCTCTCTTGCCTGGAGGACTGAAACCAGCCTGTCAGTGCGAGCGCACTTGCTGAGCTACAACTGTTTGTGTGAGATCTGAATTTTGTCTAATTCCTACCTTAATAGCTGTTCCCGACAGCTACTTGTGAAGCCTGGTGGTAAATTCCGTTCCTTATCTCATAGTTTCAATAAGCAAAATTTTTTTTCCAGAAATGGTTGCTCTTTTTAGAGAGGTTATTTTGCACCCTAGCGGATTGTTTCAGATTGTAACAAATTGCTGCTGCATGTCCCCGGCCATTGCTCATATATGAGGGCAATACCTCAGGGGAGGAGGCTAGAGTGGTACCATGCCGTGATTCAAACCTCAGATTCACCTTTTTTCCCCCTCCCCATTACCTGACAGTAGTTTTGGGAGAAGAAAAAAATATTACTGGAAATTTTAAGGACCTGGCATAAAATATTTATGGGTTTTCCAGGTGTCACCAAGGGGCAGCAGACCTTGAGGTGTCTCTCAGTGCACACTGAGGAGATCTTAACTGGCTACAGCTCCTCGAGCATGCCTGATGTCTCCTGGCTGCCAGTCATCCTGACAAGGTGATGACTAATGGGGACAATTAGCTCCCTCCCCTAACATGCTGTCTGCCATGGCTATTTGAAAGGGAATTAGAGCACGTTTCCCTAAGGAAACAGGTTGGCAAATGGGCTTGGGTCTGTTAAAGATTTAGGATAGCTTCATATTAACAAAATGTCAAAAAAATTGTTCCAGTGAGGGGTAGGCTCAAGTGATATCTGCTTTGTAAAATCCTAATTAATTCATGTTCGCATATTGAGAAATTCACTTTGCAGCCAACCTGCAATTCCATGGGAGTAAGCTGCAGAATTTCCATTAATGCCAAAGGGAGTACGATCCAGTTTTGTACTGTCCACCTGATAAAGAAACAAAAATAAAAGTTTATTTCCGAGTAGTAACTAATTAGGCTGTATAGGATGAGTTACGAAGAAGCAGCTGCCAGTAATTTAACTTGTTTTCATCTCTTTCAGAATCTTATTTCCAGTTTGCAGACAAATTGAGGCACATCTGGGTATTAATTGTTCATTATCACCATTATCCAGCTGCAAATTATTAAAGCAAGTTAAAATTCTTCCTCAGTTGATGCTTGTAAATGAGCTAAAGGCAGCTGGCTGCATGGGCCTCAGCAGAATTTGCTTAAGAAATGGGAGAGGGCATGGAGCTGTAGGTGTCCCTGCTCACTGTGGGGGCTTGGACTAGGTGCCCTCTAAGGACTCAAAGCTCAAAGGACTCCATGGCCCTGTGATAACCAGACTGCTCCCTATGCTGACCAAGATGTAGTCAGGCTGCGGCCCAAAAGCCGCCATTAAAAGTCCCACGGCTGATGTGTGAGGGCACTGTCTGAGTGCTGGGAGGAAGGGGAACAGCACAATAGCCAGATTCTTGAAGAACAGTGCGGTCCTTGTAGGGCATTGCTCTGATCTCATTTGAATGACAGTGGAGCAGCCTGCTCTTAACTTCAGAAAACACAAGTCTTTCAGATTCCATATCTAATAATAAGATTTTACCAGTGACTTATTTGTTGACAGAAATTACTTAGAGTTAATATGTTCTCATTGCAGACCCTGGGGTCTCTTTGTTTATGCTGAACGTGAATGTATTCTAGCGCAAGAATTACTATCTCCTGCTTGCTGCTTGGGCGCCTCCAGAATAAGTAATACGCTGGCATAACTTTGCCATTTGTCAGCCAGCAGTCTGGTAGCACATTTGCTTGTCAATCTAATTTTAACCTTTTCTCATACGAGCACTTGGTATTACATGTAAATCAACCAGGCAGTCTGTCATTTGGATAGGACACTATCTTCATGGTTTTCTAAACTATGTGCTTTATCATATGTATTCATGTTTAAGTAGCAGCGGAAAATTAAAACTAATGTATTACTTCTGGTTTCTTAATGCCAGAATGTCAGGAATCTCTTTATTACCACGATGGAGATAAATGATATGTTTAGGAGGGTTGTTCTGACAGTGGGTGCGGCCATGCATTCTGTGCTTTCTGAATTGGAAGGTCTGTCCTGAATGGTAAGTAATGCTAAATGTTGCATAGCACATTGTCTACGTCTGCTCCCATTATTGCTGTAATTTGCAGGTAGGAATAAAAGAACAATGCAACTGGTTAATTAAATATATATATAAATAAATAATGACAATGTGGTTCCAGTAAGTTGCTAACTGAAATATTGATGCTGACTCTGAGAAAGAGAATGCAATTCATTCTGAAATATCAGTCAGTTCATGTCTTTTGATGATTTGTGTAAATCACATGAAAGGTTTCCTGGCGTGCCCTTCAATTTGCGAGGTGTTCCAGAGATCGATTTGGTTGTGAAAGCAGTACGTATGAAGTTACACATTAGCTGTTTCTCAGGGTTGTTGGAGCTATGCATCACTTCAACCTTCTTGAATTTGTGTTTAAAAAATAAAAGATATTCTAGTCCATTTGTAAAGCCTGATCCCATTTTGGCATTTTCAGATATTTTACTGCATAAAGCATGATTTGAAAAATGCAATGGTTTGTGACATCTCCCGAAGCCTCAGTCCCACACAACACCCATAGTCACTCACTGCATGGCACAACAGATAGATGTCTGAACAATGATGAACATTTGGACAGATTTTGGATAATCTATATTTTTGTCATTCATTCTTTGAGGCTATTAATGCTGCCTTCCATTTCACTCAGGATTATGATAAAGGACATATTTAATACCAGATTCTGCTCTGGTGATTGGTTGCAGTGTACTCAACCTGGGACAGACAGTGAAGGATGCTCTTTATCAAAGAGCAGAACTGAAGCCCATTTACTCCTGTCAATCACACACGCTCCTCCTCTGCCCACATATTGCGCTGCTGTTCCTTTACAGGCATTAGCATCCTTTCAGCCCATCCCCACTACCATGCCTCATTTCTGGCAACTTCTGTGTGGGGTATACACCCCAAAATTTGCCTTTATTGCTGTGAATTTCTCTCATATACTGTGTCTCTCTTCAATGAGTAGTGTCTAATTATGTTCACGTGATCCCTACCACAGAGATCTGTTTCTGATTGAGGCAGTACTGTAATAGAAGTAATAACATACGAGCTGCTACCACCATCACCTCCAGCATCCTTTCCTATCTACAAATCAAGTGCCCATCGATATCTAAAATCGTATATGGCTTCATTTAGCACAAATGTTGCCTGAAGTCTCAGCCACAGGTTAGTTAAATATCTTTGGGAAGACAGGCCTGAGATGTCTGGTTGTAACTTTGATCTCATATAAATATGTACAGCTCAGAAGAATTGATCCCAGAAAAGATTCAGGTAATTCCATAAGTTAATTTTGCATAGTAGATTTATATATAAAATTATCTTCTGTGCTCTGATGAAGTTCTCATGGGGGTTTGTTGGACTTCCAGCTGCAGGTATTCCAGGGATGCACCTGGACAAAGTCCTATGATTGGTGAAGGGAACGGCCACCAGTGGTGATGGCATTTGGTATCACTGAGTTTGTCCAAAGTAATATCAGATGTAATTTGTCTGTTGCATATGAGATCCTCTGCTTCGCTACCACTGCTCTTGCAGCTGTGAGGCTCAGGGCAGCGTATAAAACAAATGAATGTTTGCTCTGAAGGAAAACAGTGCATTTCCAGGGATGGAGAGCCTGCTTTCTATTACAGTGAAAGTATTTTCAGGTCTTACTTATTGTTTGTCATTAGGAAGTGTATTAACAAAATTCTTCTTCCCTTCCTATTTTCCATCATTGTTCATCTGCATGGATGCAGAAAAAAAATGCTTTTTTCCCTGATGTACATATCTAAGGACAAACTCAGTTCTAGTTCTTAGCTGTAAATTCCTCGAGGAATCAAAGGCAAAATTCAGCTGTCTGTACTGGAAGGGCTCAGTCTTTCCCTGTCCCTTTTCCCTGTGAATTCTTTTTTTAGTATCGTTAACAAACAAAACAAAACAAAACAAAACAAAACAACCTTAAATGCAATTTTCAGGTTCTGCTGGTGAGACAGCTCTAATGTTTACCCCCAGAGCCACTCACTGTCTTGATCCTGCTGATGACCATTGCGTTCTTCACCTTGTCTCAGCCCAGCCCTGGGAGATGGCAAGGCTCACTGTTACTGTTTGCAGCAACCTCTGTATTAAATTGGTTTAATAATCATAAGTACCGCAACAGGCACTGTCAAGCTGAGCTGCTTGTACTTGGGTGCTGTATGGAAACTAATGAGATGACATACATTCTGTCCTTGCATCTAGCATCCTGCTTTCTTGGCTTTTATACCTCTCCTCCTGAAATCATTACACGAAAAAAGTAAAGCAAAAAAACCCATGCATCTTGATTGTTGTAGTGAAAGGAGGGTTTCAGGAGGTGCACCTAGCATGAGATTACACTGACTTCAGTAAATAAAAATGCTATGAACAGCAACAAACTCCATCAGTTGTAATGAATTATCTGATTCTAATGACCTACTGCAGCCTGGCATGTGGCAGATGCTGCTTGGTGGCACACCTTGCCAAAGCCACGACTGATGGGTATCTGACTGAAGGCTGCTGACAGGCAGGGGTGGGCAGGAAGTGCCCACCACAGCACGGTGGGTTTTCTTGCTGTGTCCCTCCACATCCATGGTCTTTGGATGCTTCTGGCCTTCAAGTCAGCTGTTGATGTAGAACTTCAGGCATCAGTTAGCTCCCCAGGGATGTATCAATAGAAAGCCTTAATGCAAGCTCACAGGTAGTGTAGCAGAAATGCTAAGTCGTGGTCTGAAGCAGTGATTGAGCACCTGGTGGGAAGGCAGGGCCAACCCAGGTAAGCTCAGGTGCATGCAGTGCATTGAGTGACCAGAAGGGATGGAGCCAGGAACCACCCCTTCCCAGACCTCATTTAAGGGTTGACAGTGGACAGGAGGGCATTTTGCTGGAGGTTCCTATTTACATGATCCCTTCCAAAGGTAAGCAGATTTTTTCTTCCTCTGTTTTTCATTTGCTGCAGTGAAAGATTTTGTCATTCTGCTGTTACTGATGTACTTTCCATCACATCGTAGCATTGCAGGTGGCAACAAGTGTTACTGCTCCTACTCCTGCTTAGTAAAATTTGCTCTCCACCACTTTTTCCAGCCTGTCATAAGGGACTTTTCTCTTACAATGCAACTTAGCAATCTGTTTTGACATTACTTGATATTGCTTTTGGTCTATGTCTAGTTCCCTGAAACTTTCCTGTCTCTTGTTCACTTGCCTTTTCTCTTCCCTTTGAATCACCTCAGCAGGTGCTGGTAGAGATGGCCTTCCACTCCCCTCACACCACACTACAAGCTGCACTTAAGAGAAAGCCATCTCAGGCCCAAAGAAATGTCTAATCAAAGAGCAAATACAAGCATAGGTCATGCTACTATTAGAGTAACCCCAGCAGCCCCCAAAGCTTACAGCAAGGGGCTTCTTTCCTTCCCATCTTTGGGTGTAATCCAGAACAGCTGTGCCCCAGGTGCATGGGATGGCTGTTGAAGTCGTGCTTGGGGCTGGCAGATGTCAGGTTTAGCTTTATTTATTGCAGTAGGTCATATTTATTGCAACAACACTGGTGGTGAGGGGTCTCTAACTGGTGCTGAGGTTTGTAGTGGAGCTCTGGAGCTTCCACTGGGGTCTGGACTGGATCCTGACCTCAGCCTGCCTGCTCTGTTTGCTTTTCCTTTCCTTACACTGCTTCCCCTGTCTCTTTGTCCCTGCCCAGGGAAATGAGATGCACACTGGGATGATCCTGCTCCTACTGCCTGGTTTATAGGAAAGAAATACCTTGAGAAAACATATGTGAGCTGGCTGGAGAGAGAATGTTTGGGAGACAGAAGCACTGACTTTCAGGAAGAGAGTAAAATAGGATTACGGGAAGAAAAAAGACCTTCTAAAAATCAGAATAGCTTCAACATTGCTCACTCTGCTAATGGATTCATTATTACAGAGAGATTGTGAACGGGACAATGGGACTTTTATTTCTTCCCTCGGGAGTGAGGCAAGAAAGTGGCTGCTTAAATCACTATTGACATTCAGCATGTGAATTCCAGTTTTGATTTTATGAATGGCCTCTATCATCACGTCTTGTGCGGACCGTCTCATGCTCATTGTGCTGTGGGGTTAGACACACTGTCACCATCCCTATAAATAGCTGCATTGGTTGCGAAGGGCTATCAGAGCCTCCTCTGAAAGAATAGGTCTTTTGACCAGTGGCATTTTAGGCCACTTTTCTTCAAACTTTCTAGACAAGATAGCATGTTTTCCACTCTGTGGATCCTAGAAAATGGACAGTAACCAAAGTATTGATCTGTGAAATTCAGGCACCCAGTGAGTGTGAAGAGCACACGGGGAAAACCAAAGTTAGGAGCAATAGGACACAGCATGCTCTCCAGAAGAAGTCTCAGCTGTGGGGCTTGCAAGGAGTAACAAACTGCTATGCACAGAAAGAGAAGCTCCCTATGATCCATCTGGAATCTGAGCTGCTGTGCACAACTGCTGCAGTGTTGGACAGGTCTGCTCTGCACCCAAAAATGCTCAAGTGTACCAGGGGATGGGCGGTAAGCAGACACTTTTCTGTATCTTTGGTTTTGGATAAAGTAGGAGGTGATTGTGTATAAAAAATGTTTTGGCTTCCAGCTGCTAGCCACTACTGTGATCTGTACAACATGACAACAGTCTTCGGGTAAATACTCAGCACCGTCGGGGTAGGCTTGGAAGGCATGAATACTTTTAAGGTAGCAAAGAGTGGGGGGGCTCTAAGGATAAATGTTGTCTGGTCTGTACAAGCCTTCTTCTGTGAAGAAATGTGCTGGAGATACAGAAATCACATGTTCTGCTGGCTGTGCAGGCAGGGAAGATTTACAGCATGGAAGAGGTCAGATGTAGCACAGCACTGAATGATGGATTACAGGGTTTGCTGGGTGTCTTTGGCTATTAAAGGTAATAAATGCCTAGATATTTGGAGGGTTTCCTTACAATTAACAACCCATCTGGAATTCACACCCCACCTTCCACAACCTGGGAAGTTTCCAAGAGTGCATTTAGTCAGCAGAAGCACCCTTTGTGCAAACAGTGAGTGTGTACACAAAAAGATTGCTTTGCCAAAAGGAAAGAAATTAGAGCAGTAAATTTAGGGATGTGACTAACTCTTTCTGGATGGGGGGAAAGAACCACACTTGCCAGTTATCTCTTCTGTGCCTTTCCTCAGCTGTGGCTGGGGACATCTGATGACTGTTTCCCTTTCACTCCCAGCACAGTGCATTCTGTCTGCTGACAGTTAATGAAGTCACTCGCAAGCCTCCATTCCCTGGGGAAAAGCACTTCTATGAATAGACCTGTTACTTACGTCTCTGGTTGTGATGCTCTCAGTGCTCCTTTTGCTGTGCCACCATCTCTAACAATTGTGCCATTTCTAAACAATGGCCTTTCACTGTAGAGCTTTGGCAGTGCAGGATGCCGTGAAAGTTCTTGCTTCTGGCATAGCTGTAGAGCTCTGTGAATGCTTCTATGCTGTCCTCAGTGCTAGATGTAAGTTTTGAAGTACCACAGACTTAGCAAAAATGTGGAGGAAGAGGGACTGTTACCATGAGATGCTTCTTCAACATATATCCTACAATAAGGAGGAAATCAAGCTTTTTGTTTGTAAGAACAGAATATTTCTATCCTATGGAAATAGAAAGGGAAACCGTTGATCTGATGAGAAATGTTAGAGAACGTCACATATTTGCCCAGCTGAGCTTGCATGTCTGGTAATGATTAAGTTTGTTTTTGTAAGGAATTGCACTGGTCTAGACAGAGGTGACCTGTGAAGGAAATATAACAAGTAGATATAAAGACAATAGAGAGAAATAACTATGAATCATGATAACGTATTGCCCAAAGTACAGAAATATAAGACCTTATTAATACTTATTACAGTTTGTAGGGCCTTTGATTAGTGTCAGTGAAGGCAAGCAGAGTGTGTCACTGCTTTGTGTTTTCATGACTGAGTGGTGTAGCTGAGATCTAAATCAAAATGATTTTACAGTTGGACACTCCATGAGAAAATCTAGCTATGGAAGTCAGTAAATGGTCAAAAAGAGAGCGACTTGGTAAAGAAGCATGCCATTAGAACATTACCTATTCTTTGTTTAAATGGCATTTTTACATTCAATTTGTCCTTTAATACAAACTTCATGTTCTTAACAGACTCTTCCTATATCAAATTGTCAGACTTTTAGTTCTCATAGAGCTACAATGAGGTCTCCAATAAAATGCAACTGTCAGTTTCTTTTCACCGTGATCTAAATGTCTGCACCATTCCTACATGAGCAGAGTGAGTTTGGTCTGATCTGAACATTTATTCATACTCCTCATCCTCCTGCCTATATAAAACCAAAACAACATTAACAGAAACCTCACCAAACTTGTTACTCATACTTCTCATTTCATATTAATTCTGGATGGCTGAATACGTTTGAGTGATTCATGACCTACGTTAAAATTTAACATCAGCCTTTAATGTGTTTGGCCTGACACATGGTGTGCCTTATAATATTGATATATCTCACTGACCCAGCACTCTGCATCAGCTTGTAGAAACATGCCATGGGAGGAAAATGACACGGTAGTCCTGATTTACTTCTCTGTCAAAGCTTTAATTAAAGCATTCACACTGTCTGCTAAGGGCTTTGGGGGAATCTCAAAAGATGCCTGTACTGTTGTTCACAGCATTTTGTTTTGAAAGATTAGGAGGATAGGAATATGTCTCATAAATCAGACTTCTGTGACATGGTCAGCTTCTCAACAGCATCCAGAACTCCTGTCTGAGTTGCTCTCTGGTAGCTCATACATTAAGAAATCCTACAAATTAATGCATCAGATTATCCCTAATGCATTTTTAAGTGCTTTCTTCCAGCACCCAGCAGAGTAGCTGCAGGGAGTTCAGCAGACCTGCAGGAACAGAGCAGCGTTTCTCTCACAGTGGCTCTCCTCTCTTTCTCAGAAATACAGAGGTGCAAACCTGAGGACAGATTTCTCCTTTAGGGCTTGTTTCCATTGCTGACACCAACTGCCTGGAGGCTGTGACAAGGCAGTACTCAGCCATCTGCAAGCTTGTCAGCTGGGAGGTAGAGCTTGAACATAGCGGGGTTTCCTTTAGCACAAGCTGCTACTGAAATGAGCCCCTGCCAGAGTGCCCAGGAACAGCAGTGCTGTGAGAGAGCCTCCTGTCTACCTCTGCAGAGGAGTCTTGTTAAGGTCATACAGGCATTGCTTTTCCTTAATAAAACAAAGGGCTTTTTCCCCTAATTTTTCCTAAGGAAAAGCTTTTAGCTTAGCAGAACCATTTAAAGTGTAGGAGAGCAGATGCTGCTGTCCCCCCTCTCCCCTAGGGCAGGAAAGCTACACAAGTAGCAGCAGCTACACAAGTAGCAGCAGCTACACAAGCAGCAATCCTTAGCAGCATCAGGGGGTGTTTCCTGCCCTCTTCAATCCCCACAGTGCCGTAATTGCATCAATTCCTCAGATTCAGTAGCAATGAATGATAAAACTACTGCCAATACCTCAGCTGGTTGTTTATAATCTGCTCCAGCAAGCTTTGCTTCCCCTCTGACTGCTTCCTGGCTTCTGCATCCCTTGTGCTTGGCTGTTCTCTGCTCAGGCATTCAGGCTTGGACCTGGAAATCCCCTGTTCCAAATGCTGAACTGTTGTGTTCTGGCAGCATTTACCTGTTGCTCTTGTAGAAATGAGGGCTCTGTGATGCTTGTGCTGTTATTCAGAGTATTAATAGAAAACACAGGCTGAAAGATTCTTAGCCACAGGCTACCCAGACGGGAGCTCGTGGTGCTTCATCTTAGCCTAGGCTGGTTTGGGATGCAAGATAGGAGCAGTCTGCCCTGACCAATCCTCATCTCTACAGTGGTAGAATGAGCACAGTACTGGGATCATGAATAAAATAATCTGCTATGAAGAATGTACGCCAAAGGTCAAGTCTTGAAAGATTAATTAATATGTAAATTCAGAAGCACTAGCTAAATCAGACTGTTGTTGCTTGACATTTAAACATAACAAATAAAACTGAGAGGAAGAAGCAGAGGAGAAGAGAAAAATACCACAGCAAGAATGGTAAGAATAAATCAGTAACATAAGAGAACTTACATAGTGAGTTGAGAATGAAGGAAAAAAATAGGTTTTTTACTTCATGTGGGCAAACTGAAGTTGAAGAAGACCTTGTAAAAATGAATGCTTTACCAGTGATATGGTGTTACATGGATATCAAGAAGAGTGAGCAACAGGTTCTAGGAACTCAATTGTTGTAGTCAGAATAAAAAGCTTGCAGTGACCTTGCTTTTCTGTAGGTTTTAAATCATAAATATTGATTAGTTTTTTAAAAATGAGAGAGAAAATGATGGCATCACAGGAACAAAAACCCGTACTTTCTACAAGCTGTTCCTAGCACATTTGCTCTATTGCTGGCTATTCATTGTATAATCTTGCTTGAAATTATTAACAGGTTTTTGGCTTGTAGGTCATCTGCTGTCCCATTTTTTTTCTTCAGCTTAACATGAAACAGACAGAATTGGGATTTGTGGTTTTCCTGTGTGCAAGAAAGGTGACGCACTACAGAACAAGATTGGAATAGCCATAACTTTGAATTTTGCCAAATTAATTGAGATATACAACTTAGCCACTGTTAATTTTATAATTAATTTTCTTGCCCGGGTTTGTCCTGTATAACAGGAGACAGCTGTGTCCAACTTTGAAGTCTCTTTCCTCTTGATGGTGTCTATAAAAAGCACAGAGAAAGGTGTTCCCCCTGAGCATGAGAAAAAGAGCTGCATTCCCTGCCCCCTGCAGGTTTGCCAATAGCACACAGATGGCTCGGCGCGTTCTCTGGGCTCAGCCGTAGCACCAGAATTTAACCTGCCTGAGTTCTTCCTTGGCCTCTCCTGTTCTTCTTGAATGTTACTGAGCACAGTGATTGATCTGCAATTTAAAAGGGCATTCAGATGCCTCCTCCAAATTGCATTCAGCACGCTTTGTACAGGCATCAATCTTATTAGTCAGGAGTGCAAACTGATCTTGAATTAGTTCTGAACCAGTTCTTCAGATGCTAAAGCTACCAGTGTAGTCATTTCTAAAGCTTTTACTCTTCATTAATGAATGCTGGAAGACTTCTCTTCTTCTCTGGAAGAAATTGCATAATTGACTGTCAGGTTTTGTCTGTAACATTTCTGAGCCATTTTGCAATCCGTGCAGAGATTTTCATTTCTTTCTCTCATATCTCACATGGTAATTGTCAGGTTGATTAACATGTTTCACAAAGTGACCCTGAGGTAGACTCCCCAGTGCCTCACACGGTTGGGGTGGTCAGGGCTGACTTTGCTGACTTAAAGAGGTCCTGGTCCTTCACCAGGTCAGTGACATATGGGAAATCAGAAGAAAGAGTAAAGCTGGAAAAAACAGCTTCATAACTGACTGCTGTATAATGAATAACTTGCAGCCATGACTCAGTGTCTGCATTCCTTCCCTAACACAACAATGTCTTGTAGGCTGGCTTTGAATGTTTTTGTTCGC